TGTGGCGCACGAGGTCTTAAACAAGTAATACAGGCCAATCCATACACATAACGGCAATACTCTGCGGCTTTGCGATCTGCATACTATACTTTTGTGGTTTCGGCATCGTCTAACGCGAAATGCAAGAGTGCATGTTCGTAAAAGAAATAGTTTGGGTCAATTCCAATTTTTCGTTCAACCGCAACATTCTGCGGTTTTTGCGGTCGGCATACCTTTGAAATTTCCGTATCATCAAACTTTGTGTGACTGTGTGTGTGTACACAAACACTATGGCAAAATATACAATGTACTCAGTTACCCGCAAATTGCTGCCGTTTGGCGCTCGCCATACATTACCTTTGGAGTATCCGTATCGGTTGAATCGGGTTGTAGCGCGAGGTCTTCCGGGTCGGGGACTGCTGACTGTACATTCAGCCAATCTGCATATTTGAGCTGAGGTTTTGGATCGCAGATTCCAAATTTCAGTCCAAATTCCAGAAGTAAGCAAAGAAAAAACAGGTTATTAAAAATTTGGAGCAACAGTCTTTTCTGTGATCGGAGGACCAGACGCTGTCAAGTAAAATCGTAAACTGATTATATGTGAACAATCACCACTCTATGAAGATGTGCACTCACTTAGAAGCCCTAGATCACTGACACCTACACCTTACAGACAGGCAGATTATCAAGTACACAACTGGATCACTGACAGCTGCACCTTACAGACATAGACAGATTATCAAGTACAGCGCATGCACCTATAAATGGACATTTATGAATTATATCCAAACAGTTTCAAACCAAACACAGACCGACAACCACCAGAATCTCGCCATTAACACGTGCTATGACTTCGAACAATTGTTAAAAAGAAAGACCAATATATATATATATATATATATATATATGTATCTATATATATAATATATACATGTATAGATTTAAGTACATTCACATGAAACTTAGACCACCACCTACCAGACTCTCGCCAATAGCGCGTGCTATGACTTCGATGAATTGGGTCGAGTCTTCCTCGTTCTTCCATTCCAATTGGTCCACAAAGTGAATGATCGAATTGTACGCCGAAAACAGATCAACCACAGACGACGAGTGCAACACGCCTAAGGAATTGCGAGTGGTTGTAGAGTGACACGTGTGAAGAAAGGTGGTTTAGCAACGGTACATGTGTATACCTGTATGCAAGCGCTATTCGCGCTCGCATTTATTCAGGGGTTGGTCGTCGACATGTATGTTTAGTATCGTTGTCTACATATATATATATGTGTGTGTGTATATATATACATATACATATATATATATATATATATATAATTATACATATATATATATATATATATATGTGTCGTT